ATATGAAGATAAACGGCCTTAAATATAAGACCTGACTATGAATACTGGCCTAGATCTTCGAAATTATTTCACACACATGCACACGGGAAATGTATTCACACTTACGTATCTATAATTCATGCAGAAGAGTTCTCCAGGTAGAATTATATTTACGACGCAGAACACATTTCAAGAATCTGAATTACACCTATAGATTTACACTTACATATACACTTACGTGTAAAATGTTATTTAAAAATCTCCAAATATTTTCCACTACTATTTAGTGTAACATTTTAATAAAGGTACGAGAAGAATTCTGTCGCGAATCAGACATGACCTTTAGAGTAGCCATGCTTAATTTGCCTCGAAAGATTTACTCTGTTGGGCGAGTAATACTTACAGAAAAAAACATGCAAGAAATAAAAAGTATTCAATAGGCACTAAAACATATTTATTTAATCTAAATTCTTCTGTTTAAATAAACAATTGCTTTCATAGAAAGCTAAGGTTTTAAGAAAATCTACACTTTCTTATCCGAAAAAGTATCTTCTCGGTGTAAAAACTACATATGTGTGTATTAATATAAGCAAATACGTTATTAGTATAAATATTTTTTGTTTTTCTTAACTACTTTTTCTCTTAGTGTATGGAGAAAATGACTCGGTCGATGATCGTTGAATGAAAAGATGGAAAATCTCTGTCTCGCGCCTGCGTTACGCCGGAGTAATGTAACAGCGAGGGTGCAGGGCGATTCGATAGAAATCCGCGTCAGAATTGGACTCACGATGCTCGCATAATCGGTCTCTTGGAAACGACGCCTTACATCCCCTAAGCCCGGAGCGGAGAACAGCAGAGGCCATTAAACTGTCTACGAACGAGGATGCAGGGGATTTTTACAACGTCCGAGCCTACCTACTCTCTCCGCGCGCGCTCTTATATTCTTCTTACTTCTTCTCTTCTCCCCGCTTCTCTTACTATCTCTTTCTCCCTCTCTCTCTTTCTCCTTCCGCTGCTTCTTGTTTCTCGTAGGACCCACGACTTTTTCTTCTACGCCCTTCTGATCTCCGCAACGGCCCAGCAACGGCCCAGCAACGGCGTCGCCGGACCGGGACTGCGTTGCCGTAAAGAAAGAACTTCTCTGCCGCGATCTCTCCTCGAGCATTCCTTCAGTTACGCGGTTGTAGACTGTACTCTTTATCGATTGTCTGTCGCGGAACAACGACTCTACGTCATGTGTACAAGTGGGCGAGAACTTGTGGATCGAGAGAGAAAGCGTTTTGTTCAAGTCCTCATTACATGAGAAATTATTATCATTAGACTTGCTAACGAAGAGGATACTCTGATAATCATCAGGAAGTAGCGCCTCGACATAGTATCAATAATAGTGATAAAAGCGTCGACGAATGCGACGATGAATCAGGCGATCCTTAATAGTTAGGAAGAAGCCACGACGCTTCGAAACGACATTAAATTAATTTCTACAAATTGACGTTACAAAATTTCTCTTCGATTTCGCAGGTGTTGGCGACTCGGCGCTGGCTGCGGACCTCTCGACTACTCGTCGGGCCAAGCAGGCGAGGATTCTTGCATCGTCTACGTGGAATAGATCCGGGGGATAGTTATCGGCTATACTTGATGACACTAACCCGTAGATCCGAACTTGTGGGCTTTTTTATATGCATACCGCAAGCTCCTATCTACCGGTACATGTAGTCAGGCCGGCGTTAAAACTTTTCGACGGATCCTCCCCCTACCCCTCCACTACTAACACCGCCACCACCAGCACCACCACCACTACTACTACCACTACCTTCTTCTTCACCACCACCACCATAATCACCACCACCACCACCACCACTACCACCACCACCATC